GTGCCTCTCCCGTCTCGCGCCTTCAGTCAATTGCGGGATCTCGGGCGTTTTGCTCGACGGACCAAGAAAAAAGAGAGACTGCTCGTAGTCTAGAACTGTGAGCAATTTCCTTGCAAGTGAGAGATATCGTTTAATTCCTTGAAACAATCTTCTTCCCCCAATGAAACAAATGTTTAACTTCTGTGAATATGTCACTCCCTCTGACTTTTTTGAAAGACTTAAATTTTACCTGACTCATACTGAAATTCCCTGACTTGTTAAATTGTCCCTAACAACGAAAAGAATTAACATTCCTGGCATTGGCAACCATGTCACACACTAATATTCTGAGGAGATCCAAAATACAGATGTTCTTTTCGAAAAACATTAATAGGATCGAAAGAGGAGGCCAGCAATAATAAATTTTTGACTTAAACAACAACAACAACTTTATTGACTTTATCTTCGACATGAAGATTTCAGTACCAAAAAAATAAAAGACGCAACTGTGTTGATGTGTAAGGCTGCTACATATATACCACATTTTACTTGGGATGGTTTTAGGGAAGTAAATGTATTATGAAAATTGTAAACGAATTCAAAATTTTGTTCAGTAGGGATTCTGTTTACAAATGTAACGCTTCCCTAGATGTCACTAGACTGCGATCAGTCACTCAGGATGGTAACGCGAGCGAGGAAATCGAGCGAGGCGAGCGAAAGTAAAAAACAAGAAGCCGAGGGGAAGCTGGGGAGGAGGCGGGAAAGGAGGCTACAAAAGAGAATGCAGTCTCTCTTCTTCCCGCCGCTCTCCAGTTTCCCTCTCGGCCATTTCGCTCTCTCCAGTCCTGCCGAGCTTAGACTCGACTGACTGAAGAGGGACTGCTCACAGTCTAAGATGTCGCACATAATCGGTGTTCTAAACTGTCTAAACTGTTTATTGCAAAATATAGCTCACTGTAAAACCCATTGTGATCGGCTGTCCTCAGTCCGTTGGAAAGATATTCCTCACACGTGCTTTTTGCAAATTGTGTAATTCTTGCTGTACATCGAAGAAGATAATTTTGACTGTAAACTTCAAGCGTTGCCTCTCCTCATCAACCAACGCCGTAACAAGGCCAACTTTGTAACACGAGGCGGTGAAGTTAAAGAAGTTAGTTAGTAAGTCCCTAAAAGTCTTTTTCGGGAAAAAAATTGCCTTTAAGATGTGGATCGAGCGTCATTGTGAATTGGGACACCCAGGAACGCTAGTTTGTGGTCTACCTCTTTATCCATGGTAAAATGAATTCTGGGGTGCCTAGGGTTGATATAATTGAAAAATAATTCAGCATCGTGTTCCGTTTCAAAAACACAAAAAGTGTCATCTACATATCGTCGATAGAGTAAAACATGCGTGTGTAATGTTTGTTATCTTGCGCCTATTTTAATAACCTTAAGTTTAAATTGTAATCACGAGTTGTAACGTTAGTACAATTGCTTCATGCATCATCATTTATTGTTAATTCAAATCACATAAAAATATAAAACTGTTCTAGTAAGGCCTTAAACTGCTGTTTAAAAAGTAAACTGGGATACAAAATCCAAGCTTTCGCCGATCAACGGCATCATCCGAGGGATGAGACAATATTCCGCGCGCGCTATATATATGCAAAGAAAGTGTAGGGTGAAATGTGTAGAAGATAATGAAATAATAAAAACTCGTCTGTTAAAAAACATATCTATTCCTGCCAGAACAAAGACTATAAAGGCATTGATGTCAAGATTATTATGAGCGAAAACGACCCCGTTACTCTACGCCACTATGAAGCATTTTACATTAGAAAGTGCAAGCCTACACTCAATTCCCGAGAAGAATGTACTGAATTCGCAGACCTTCTATTTTAGTATTTTATTTTAGAGACCATTCTTAAGCGCTTTTAGAGGTCCTTTGTCTAGAGACATTCCATCATTAGAGCTTTGTATTGCATTCACAGTTTATTTCTATAGCTTTCATACATTCGTCACATCTTCTACACACTTTCTTGCATATATATAGCGCGCGCGGAATATTTTCACATCCCTGATGATGCGGTTGATCGGCCAAAGCTTGGATTTTACATTTTACTTTTTAAACAGCAGTTTAAGGCCTCACTAGAACAGTTTTATACTTTTAATTATGCTGCTGAAAGAGCTTGAAAGACAACATGAACCGGATCAAATCACATACTGTATTACTTGCAGCTACTGAAGATAAGTCGTCAGCGGATCGATCGAAACATGTCTTGTTTTAAATTGAAAGTTGTGGTTCATTTTTGAAAGCCGGATGGTTTGACGGAGGTTATAACATTGGCATCACTGGATGATTTGTGCAAATACTGAAAAAAAGAAAAACACCGGAAGCTGACATCTTTCATCATCGTTAAGAGTTTGTTTACTCGTGCAGCTACCCGGCTGCACGATTTTGTGCTAAAATGACTCTAAAATGTAATCGGTGAGATCTTTTAGGACAATGCTTTTCATTCAGGTATTTAATTGAGACAGAGAAAACATACAGCTCAACATCAAGATTGCAAGAACTATCGGTTTTGTTTCTGGTAAATAGTACAAGTTAAGTTTTTCTAGGAACGTTTTACACCAGAAATTCACACAGTTGTCTTTAGTTTTTTGCGATTTCGCATCGTAGCTTTCCAGTTTGTTCTTATAACTTTTCAAACTATGCCAGCAGGAAAAACGGAATTGAAACTCAGTACTAAAATGTGGAGAACAGCGCTTTTTAAAATAGAGAGAGGCTGAGTAAGTACATTTCTCTGTTTTTGCAATCTCTGTTTGCAGCCCTAAAGCCAGTTTTGCGTATTTCTTGTGGTGTCGTGGACGTTTTCTATGAGTTTACAGGTATAATAAACATAGATTTTTTAGCAATCAGAACGCGCGTACTACTATAATTAATACTCGATGTTTGCACGCTGCAAGTTTCCTATTTTTTTAAGTGGCAATTAGAAACTAGAACTGTTTTTGACGATAAGATTCCTGGACTATTGGATGTGCTGGCTACATTTATCTGCAGAAGTGTAATTTGTATTTGGGTTTTTAAGGCACGAGTAAAGTGTCCAGAAGCGAAGCCTAGCTATTTCAAGTCAGTTATGATTCAAAGAGAGCACTTCTTTAATAACAAACTTTAATGAGGAAATGACCTTCTAACAAACTAGACAGAACAAACGTTCCTGAACACGATGTGTTTTTCCCTTGTTACCCATCACCTTGCGAAAACAGTACAAGACTTGACAGATGTAATTAAAATGAACTATACTACAAAGATACAGCTTGAAAACCACTTCTCAAGATAATCCAGAGCACTATTAAAAACTCAAACCAGTTCACGCTAGGGAATGCTTAACGGAAAAAAGCTAGGAGAGCGCATGCCCCTAGCAGAAAAGCGCTGACCAATGGTACTTTAGCTCCATTGCACAGGTCACCCTCACAGCAGTCGACTTTACAATCGTTGACTTTTGCTCCCGCTTGTGCCAATGCCTTGCACTGGTCATCGCTACAGCCCGCTTTGATGGTGCAATCCTTTATATAAGTCTTGAAGGTTACGCCTGACACTTCTCCATCGACAAAAACTTTGCGACAGCTGTCGAAACCGGGAAGACAAGTCGTCTTTACCTTGTTCTTGTCACAGTCATCCCAACTCGTCAATACCGAACACTTGTAGCACTGCAGACCATAGCCTGTGAAACAGAGGAACAACGCAGAGTCATTGCTAATCCGGTGAACACAACAAGACTCTTAAACAATTTGCGGGAGAGAGGACGAAGCTGTAATCTGATTTGCAACAGAAGTTAGTAATAATGAAATTTATTCAGGATTCCATTTAAACTAGCTCTGCTAAATTGGATGCCCCTGGATAAATATTGATTTTAAAGAAATAATGCGAATTAATGTGTAGCGGGAAAAAATGATTCTCAATTGAATTTGCAAGATAAACAGTTTAATTTCATCTGGTCGTCCTTCTGTTCATGCCTTGTCATACCGTTTCAAGGCAAAACTGACAATACTGTGTACGTTAAACGTTGCATTTTTTTGGTTTCGACCGTAACAGATATTAAACCAGGAAAAAAATTCTCGCTTGTCGTCGGGGTTTGCTTTGCTTATAAACATTTTACGTTTTGGAATATAATAGGGCATGTTCTAACGAAACAATAACATCTTACCTTAAACATCTAAAACTTTAAACTATTTAATAGGGAGCTTACGCAAGCAGGACGACGGCGGCAGCGAAAACGTCATGTAAAAAGTGAATACTTCATTCCATTCGGTTCAATTTCAAAAAGGTAGTCGAATT